TCATCAGTTGATGGACACTTGGGCTGCTTCCATATCTTGGCTATAGTGAATAATGCTGCTGTAAACATTGGGTGCATGTATCCCTCTTTGAATTTGTATTCCTTGGGTAAATACCTAGTAGTGTGATTTTTATAGGGTAATTCAATTTTTAACTTTTTGGGAAACTCCACACTTTTTTTCAGAGTGGCTACACCAGTTTGCACTGCCACCAACAGTGTTAAGAGGGTTCCCCTTTCTCTGCATCCTCGCCAACATATGTTGTTTCCTTTGGTGTTAATTTTAGCTATTCTGACAGGTGTGAGGTAGTATCATTGTGTTTTTGATTCGTATTTCCCTGATGATGAGTGATGTTGACTATCTTTTCATGTGACTGTTAGCCATCTGAATGTCTTCTTTGGAAAAATGTGTATTCATGTCTTCTGCCTGTATCTTAACTGGATTGTTTTTTGCGTGTTGTTTAAGTTCAACACTTATTTTGGATAGTTTATTTTTCAACACTATTTTGGATAATAACCCTTTATCAGATATGTCATTTGTAAATATCTTCTCCCATTCCATAGGCTGCCTTTTAGTTTTGTTTATTGTTCCTTCTCTCTGCAGAAGCTTTTTATCTTGATGAGGTCCCAGTAGTTCATTTTTGCTTTTGTTTACCTTGCCCCCGGCAACTTGTCTAGGAAAAAGTTGCTCCAGCCAAGGTCAAAGAGGTTGCTGCCTATGTTCTTCTCTAGGATTTTGATGGTTTCCTGTCTCACATTTAGGTCTTTCATCCATTTTGAATTTATTTTTGTGTGTGGTGAAAGAAAGTGGTCCAGTTTCATTCTTCTGCATGTCAGTAACCAGAGCAACAGTTCTTAGAGTGATAATACTGAGAAAAAATTGAGGTATCTTAATCAGAGATCATGTCAGTATTGGCTCTCTTTGTTGTGTGACATTGGGCAGATCTCTCTGATTCTCTGGGTTTGTTTCCTCTTGTGTTCACAGTACCTTCAGAGGTGGTTGTAAATAAAAGTATGTATGAAAGTGCTTTGTAAACAGTAGTATGCTGATAACTTAGTGGTTTTCCGCAAGGATTTCCAGGTAGTTCATGGATATATCTCTGTTACTCAATCATATTATGACAGTATTATATGATAATGTAGTTTTGTTTCTATATGAATTATTTACATTTAAAAAAGCATGGAGTCTTTTGTCTTCCCAGAGTGCTCAAGGATCAAAAATTGCCATGTGTTGGTCCGTAGAGTTTCTGAATTTTTTCTTTGCAGAGTAAAATACTATTTTTAAGGGATTTTTTTTTTTTCTTTTAAGAATCAATACTACCCTTCCCTCAAAATTAGGTTTATCTTGGTCTACAAAAGGGTGACCTCCCACCGCAGGGTTTCTTTTACAAACTACTTCTTTCTTAGGGTCCTTGGGTCCCAGCTCTGTCACTTGAAACAGTCTTAAAATTGGATGTGACAAAGGGCCCAGAAACTTATTGGAGATGGCAGAACCTGGTTGGGATGCCTGGTCCCTCAGGGAGGGTGCCAAAGGAGCAAGCAGGCTGCTCTTGGTCCTGCTCTATTTGGCCAGTCTGGGTTGGCTATAATCAGTGCCACCTGCCCAGTGTCTAGCTGGTGTCCTTTTGAGCCTGGCTAATATTGCCTGTCTTACACTTCCTGGCACTGCCCTAGAGTAGAAACAGACTCTTAGGGCCCTGAGAAATCTGGGTTTTAGAGAAATATTTTGAGGGTGACCTGAAAGGGCTTTGGTTTGGGCAGATTTGAAATGCAAATAAGGTTCAGAGATCTGCTGCTAGGTGCTATTAAGGAGATTTCTCTTTTATTATTGCCTCTAATAGCCCCTGTCATACTTAAACCTTGAAAAGAGGGAGACATTCAGAGTGTATTTTAGGAGAATTGCAAACCAACATTTACTGGGCCTACAGTGCTGGACCCTTTGTCTACATATATTATCCCATTACTGTTTTATGCTTAGCTGTGGTCACTCTACAGAAATTCTGACAGTAATTTAGAAGGAGTAAATTGAAGATACACTCTTGGGGTACCTAGCTGGCTCACTCAGTAGAGCATGTGACTCCAAGGGTCATGAGTTCAAGCCCCACATTGGGCACAGAGTTTACTTAAAAAAAAAAAAAAAAAAAAAAAAAAAAAAAAAAAAAAAAAAAAAAAAGATACACTCTTTCTCACTAAACTAGTGTTAAGCTGAGTTGTCTCTCCATGTATTATTTAGGTAACAGCTATTTATTGGATATGGCATTGGTGCCAAAAGACACACTTCCATCTCAGTGGGTTACAAATTTTGGGGGGAGATAAAATACATAGTACTTGGTGGTAGTTATGAAAAGCAGAGTGGGCACAGTGGAAAGAGCAGATGTGTGCTGAGTCTGTTAGATCTATGGCCTCAGACAAACAGGCTGAGTCCCAGTTTCCTCATTTGTGAAATGGGGATAATACCACATAATTTGCAGGAGAGACTGAAGAGTTTTTAAAGATTTAATGCATATAAAGTGCTCAGGACAGTGCCTGGAATATAATGGAAATGAAATAAATGGTAGCTACTATTTTTGCTAGTTAATGAAAAGAATAGAATAATATAACATAAACACCTTAGAACCTATTCCAGTGATGTTGACATGTCTTCAGACGTGTTTTTTATGTTCTACTTAGTGGCACATTTTTGTCTTTTAATAGTGAATTTGATTTTTGAAAAGACGTAAGTACGAATATTTTTATTGGTAGTGGTACGACCTCAGAAATGAGATATGAACATCATATAATATTTATGGATGTGTCTGATTAGAAACTGGGTTTGGAGGCAATTCCCAAAGAGGCATTCCCAATTTTTTGAGCAATTAGATTATCATTGGAGATATGTAACTTCTGCAGATGAACATACTAAACATATTTTGAGAATCACTCATTTTAGTATGTACTACTAAGTGTTAGAATAAATGACAGAGCCTATAAATGCTGTGGGAGAACAAAGAAGAGGGGATTAGAATAGAGTGCATTGCTTTGGGAAAGCCTGTAGAAGATAGGGCTTGAGTTGAACCTTAAAGAGAGGTAGGGTTTGTCAGTAAGGGAAGAGGGATGGTATTTCCGAGTCTTTTGGGCCAGTCACAAGAGCAAAGCGTATGTAGTTTGGTTTAGTCAGCAAATGTTGATTGCCTACCTGTGTGCTGTACATTTGGCTGAGCTTGGGAACTCAGATGAATGGACAACTGCTCTGACTTAGTGTCCTGGGGAAGAGGCACATAAAATGAACAACTATAATACAATATAGTAGTGTAGTAGAGAGGTACAGAGGCAACAGTGTGAGTGTGGAAGAGGGGCACCCAACCCAGCCTTAGGAATCAAGCAAGGAAGAGGAGATGGTGAGATCAGGCTGACTGCTGTGCTAAGTTACTGTGTAAGAAAGGAAGATGATAGGATGAGACTCAGCTGGGGTTGAAGCTAAGGATTTGAAACTTCATGATACAGGAAATGCAAAGTCCTTGGAAAAGTTTGAGCAAGTATTTGGGGACATTAGTGAGTTGGTATGCAGAATGGATTGGCATGATAAGAGATGAGAAGCAAGGAGGACATTTGGGAAACTTTTTGCAATAAAACAGGCTAAATACGAGAAATCTTTGAATTAGAAATGTGGAGGAAGGCGTGGAAAGGCAGGGAAAAGAACACGAATAGGCAGAGTTCTTGGCTGACTCGTCACAGAAAATTAAAAAGGTCACACATTCATTCTGAACTTTGGGATCTGATAGAATGTTGCCGCTGTTAAATAGGGGTGACAGGAGGGTGAGTATGATACTTGATATGCTGCCCGGGTGCTCACAGAGCCTGGTTCTTTGGGAAGGCACCAAGACATTTAGTGTGTGTCTCTTAACCCGCCCCCCACTCCTCACCATCTCTGCATCGCAGTCTAACTGCTTTGGATTTTCATTGCAGCTCCTCTACCCCCACCACCCATGATCCGAAATGGTGCCAGGGATGCTCCCCCTCCCCCACCACCATACCGAATGCATGGGTCAGAACCCCTGAGCCGAGGAAAGCCCCCACCTCCTCCCTCAAGGACGCCAGCTGGACCACCCCCTCCTCCTCCACCACCCCTGAGGAATGGCCACAGAGATTCTATTACCACTGTCCGATCTTTCTTGGGTGAGTAGCAAGCTGTTTTAGTCTCACAGTTCCTGTGGTGACTTCACTAATTCCAGTGGCCACTCTAGAATGGGAATGGTCACTGGGTACCCTTTGTTGACAGCAGTTCTTCTCCTAACTTCCTCTTGGATTTCTGGGCCTTTGCAAATTGACATGCCTTTCCTTTTGCAAATTCTAGGCATGATTGCTTTGGAAGAGATTGAAGTAAAATCAGTAGGTGTTGTGTTAATAACTCCAAAGCCACTCTCTTGCTCCCCAAGGATCATTTGTGATTAACTTTTAGGTCAGAGACTTTATCCTCTTCAGGATTATTCAGGCAGGAATTATGTATCTTCCTAGGAAGGAGAGGGCCTTTCTGGACCTTTAGAAAACAAACAAAACACACCACTGTACACCACATTAATCTAATAATACAAAGCCACTGCCTAGCTGTGTTACTTTGAGGAAGCCATTTCATTTCTCTGGGCCCCGCTTCCCTCATCTATGAAATGAGGGGGTTGAGATCAGGAGTGTATCATATTTAACTTTTCAAGGTTATAAATGAGTCTTAGGCCCCACTTAAGAGGTTCTAATTCATTAGGTTTAGAATGGAGCCCCAAGCAAAGGTTGTCCATAGGGTTTTCTCAGACCCTCTGTTGAGGACCCCTGGAAAGATCTATACAGCCCCATTCGACCCTAACACTCTACGTTCTTTAATGGTTAACTCTTACCCGCTCCCGCTCTAGTCTGTTCCTAATAGGTGGACCAGGGTTTTTGGAATGTGAGTCACGCCCATAGAAAATTTGAGCCGCCTTGTAGAAGGGCCATGGAAAGTGGGAGTGGGGGCCGTGAGAGGGCTCTCCCAACTGTGTCGTAGAATTTAAATGAGGGTAGTTTGGACCAGAGGGGAATTATCTGGTCAGATCTCTCACTAGCTCGTGACAGAAATTCCCGTTTTAGGTTAATGTCTACCAATCTGTAGATTCAGTTCAGTTGGTTTCCCATGGTGACAGTCTCTAAGATGACTGAAACAGAACTGTATTTCTTTCTCTTCCCATGCAAACAGCTGGGCTCCTTTCATGTTAAGTGTGTGGTTTTTGGTGGAAAGATTTGAAGAACCAATTCAAAGATTGATTCCTTTTCATTAGAAAGAGCCTTTCATTAGAAAGATTCTTTTCATTAGAAAAGAGCCTTTAAGCACAGCCTCTGCATATGAGGTGCCTAGAAAGATGCTCTTGCTGGCCTCCAGAACCTTGGTTTAGTGGGCCAGGCGGGCCCCTCATCGTCCATCAGAATTTGCATGGGAAATTAGCAAGGGGAGGGTCAGAAGTGGTACGGAGTATGTGGGAGCACATGAAAGAGTGATAGGAATTAATTTTTTGTTCTTTTCCCAGATGATTTTGAGTCAAAGTATTCTTTCCATCCAGTAGAAGACTTCCCTGCTCCAGAAGAATATAAACACTTTCAAAGAATATATCCCAGCAAAACAAACCGAGGTGAGAAGAGCAGCCATGAAAGTTTTTCCGTAATTCCATTGAATGTAGAATTGGTGTGTTTTTCTTAGGTTAAAATTTGCTTCTCCTCATCAGTGTTTTCTTAAGAAAACAAAGATAACAACAAAACCAATCCCTAAATTTTAAAGGTTAGCTTAAAGAGCCTGTTTCTTATTTCAGGAATGTTTGGGTTATTCAGGCTCTGGTGGTTGACCTTCTGTATGTGGTTTTCATTTTTATATTTTTCAGCTGCCCGTGGAGCCCCACCTCTGCCACCCATTCTCAGGTGAAGCCTGGCTTGGTCCTGTTCCTCAGGATAAGGATGGACCCTCTCCTGTGCTCAGATGGTCCCTTCCATTCCCCTGAAACCTGCATGAGAGCTCCTGACGTGTTTCTCCAGTGCAACCCACCTCTAGACACCAAGCGTCCTCCCCACTCACCTCCATCTATGCATCTCGTCTCTAGACTTGGTGATTGGACTCTTTATATTGACAGGAGGGTCTCAAACCCTGCATCCATCCCTCCTCTTGCAAGCCCTGCTAGCCAGATGAGGAAAAAGCTTCCATGTCTCCTGCTTTCCTTTTGGGGAAAGGTGCCTTGTTGTGATGAATGAACTCATTGTTGGAGCAGGGTGGAGAATGGTACTCCTACCTTCTCCTACCCACAGTGGGGGAGGCTTGGCGAGTATATTCTATTTCATCATTCAGGAGGCTGGCATGGCCAGGACTTCTGGGGGGTGGGCATTTTTAGTGAAACAGGAAAGGAATTTGCAGAGAAGTGATCTGTTTTAAAGGTCATGTTTGAAAAAAGGGCAAAGAAACGGTTCTGCTTTCTTTTTAGGGGTATTTTGGTTTTGTTTTCACCCCACCCCATGCCACCACCCCAGGGAGAAGTTGGATATTACAAATACTAAATACTAATCAGTTGAACTAAACATCTAATAAGAAGAGAGGGTGAAATAAACTGGGGATCCTTTTAGAGCTAGTCAGTTTCTGTGCAGCAAAGGGACCAGGAGCCATTTGCATCCTCTGGGAATCCCTGCCCATTTCCTCAGGGTGCTGAGGCTGAGGGATGTTTTTCCTCTCTGCACTGCCCACTCCCTCAAGAGAAAAGTCCCATTTTTTCATTCATTACAGATTCACATACTCCAAAACCTGCAATGGGAGATGGGAAGATAAGGCCTTGGCCTTGACACCTGGCCCTTTTAGTCCTGCTCAGAAACTTCAGCCCCTCATGGGTGCTCCAGGATGACAAGGGAAGGGTGAAGCACCTCATGGAAGGGATCAGCTCTGTGGACTTCGAAGGACTTTAAGGCCAACTTATTCCAAAGTTCACAGCCCATCTGGCTGAGTATGTTCTTTCTGTTCCTTTCTCCACCACACTTGCTTTCCCAAGACTGAAGGGGTTGTACAACCAAATAGAGAAGGGTGAGGAAGCTTATGGGGATAGTCAAAGATTCCTCTGTGCCAAGAAGCACAAAGACTTTGGTGAGGTGTGCTTCAGTCCAATTGATCTTCCTTGGCAGTCAGCAATATGTTTCTTTGTCTTCCAGTCCTGGTTAAAGGGCACAGAGGAAATGGGTCCCAGTCTAGGTAGGAACTGAGCTTGGATGGTGGAACAGGGACTTCACCATTCTCCAGCAGCAGGATGGGGCTCCTGGGTTCTACACATGGGTTGGTTTGGTTTGCTACAGCTCTTGCCAAGTGCAGAGACTGCTCAAAGCTTGGAGTTAGAGCAGGAGAGCCAGGGCTATTCCTTGAAATGGATGGGGAGAGTCAATTAAAAATTATCACCAGGTACATCAACAGGCTTAAACTGCCTTAGGGACCTCTCTAATCTGTTAGATCACAGACTAAGGATCTGTGCCTGGTGCCCAGTGAAACCCAAGTCTTCCCAGTGCTAGATGGGAGAGCTCTCAACCTGGGTTATTTGTATGGGGTCTGCTATCCTCTGTCATCCCCTGGACTACATTGGCCCTTGGGACAAACCATGGTGAGGTCTGTCACCAAACTTTTCTAATCATTCTCTTTATTTTTATTTTCAAATCTGTTAGCAGTTACCTCCCAGCAGTATATCCCTAGCATCCTGAAGCCAGGATAGCTGAGACAGGGCACTAGTGGAGGGAAAAAGAGTTACAAGAGTTAATTCTGCAGCAGAGTTCCAGGGAGATGTTGACCAGTTACTGAACTTGGACTGTGAAGTCTTCCCATTTGTTTTTGAAATGGGAGTTGATGCCTTTTGTACAATGTTATCAAAGTATATCTTTTTTTTTCCTCCTTTACTCAAACATAGAGCATCAAAATGAGTATCACAAGTAAAAGCCAAACCCCAGCTTTTCATTGGGGCTGATAATCTTCCTCCTCTGTGACCTGCTGTCCCTCATATTCCCCAGCATTTGGGCTGTGTCACATGGGTATTGATTGTATTCCCATTTTCTTGGCCTCATGAAAAAAGGCCTGGGCCTAGATCTAATCAGAGGGATTTTCTTCTTGAGAGCATGTTGATGGCACAGTACCTATTTAAATGTCTTTTGCCTTATACGTTATTTGGTCCCTCTGTTAATAACAGATTTATTGTCATGTATATTTACTATTGAAGAATGGGAATGTGATCCTCATAGTTATTGATCTATTTTATATGTTGTAAAAAGCTTGTAAAATAGATTTAAGGTGGGCTGGCTGCAAGAGCACTAAAACTTCTCACCTTTTAAACTGCTCTTTTTATCTGCTTGTGGGAATTTTGTCTCTTCAGTGGAAGATTGGGTGGTCTCATGTTGAGACTATTGCCCAGTCCCATTAACCCCCTTATTCCCTCCCAGAAGGAAGAGACATTGCCTAACTAAGCATCAGGAATCTGTGTTAAAAGCCCTTGTGCGGGTTTGGTTTTATGATGTTTTTCTCTAGTGGGAAAAACTTAATTGTTTCTTTCCACCCTTTCTGGGAAGCAGAGCAGTGGCTTCCAGGTTTTTAAATGAGCTAGATGCCCCTCTTCCCTCTTTTTTGGTCACCAGACCTGGATCGAATCACTTTGATATTCCAGGTATGGTTTTTTTCTGTTGTGGGGATTTCCTCCAGCTGCAGAACCCTATCATCCTCACAGCCTGGGCTCCCAGAGTGTGGGTTTAGGGCTACCCCACCTGATGGATGTGAGGCTGCTGTCTCCAGAAATGCATCCCAGCACTCCTAACTGGCAAACGCAAGGAGACTAGCCGCTGGCCATTGCACTGGGGGCTTCCCTCCCCCGACAGCTTCCCAACTTGAAGCCCAGATTTACCTCCAGGGAGAGGTGAGAAAAAATTGTAAATAGACTTGCTACAGAGCAACTCAGGGTTGGGGTGTGTTTTAATTCTCCTGATCACTTGAAATAATCTGTAGGCTGAGTGCTTATGGGAGTGGGGGAGAAATGTGACTCCAGGGTCCTTCCCTTCCGCAAAGCTCTGGGGGTGGAGTACAGGGCATCTGAGGCCCTTTGATGGCACTACACTGAGCTGTCTGTCCTTCTGGAAACCCAACCTACGATCAACTGCAAATCCAATTCTTCACATTCCAGTTGTAGCCTTTCTTTCCCTACTGAATCTCAGTCCCTGGCCATGTGGTCAAGGTGGCTTTCTGTAAGACACCCTGATTTAGGGAATGGAAGGCATTACAAGTCTGCCTTCAAGACTCATCTCTTAAAAGCAAAATGTAACAAAATTACAGCCACCTTCAAGATACATACAAAAAGAAGGATAACTTTAACTGAAGGAAGGATTTGGTTCCATTCAACTCCACGGTCATTGTGCCTTTACTTGTGTTAGAGTTCTCTGCTTTCTTCCTCTCTCCCTTTGAAGCAATTAAAATCTTCCTTGATAACTGCTGTTTCCTTCTTTCTACTCTTGTTTCTAACAGTTTAGTGGGTTTCCTCTAATTGTCTTAAATCTCATTCCACTGGTGGCAGAGGGGCCAAGCCTTCTTTTCTCATGTCTAACCTTTGTCCTTTCCCACGGGGACCAGTGTGAAAGTCATAGTCAACACTGAATAAAAGACTAGAGTGACGTGTGGCGTGCGTGAGTGTGTGTGTCTGTCCATCTTTGCGTGTGGGTCAGTTTATTTTCTTTTTAAAAAATAATTTATTGTATGACTTATTTTGGAGTTCTACTCCAATTACAGTGCTCCCTCACCCAATTAGCAGTGATTTTGCCCCCTCCCTCCCCACAATGTATAGTCTGGTCTCAGGTTGGATTCTTTGGTACATTTCTTTCTTCTGGATGCCGTGCAGTTTAATTAAACCTTGCTTAAAAACAAAAACAAAAACCTGAAAACTGTGTACTCTTGTCTGGAACGCCGCCTCAAGTGGTGGCATAGAGAGGGGAGAAAATCCGTTGCCTCCAGTGAGTGTAGTGGTTTGACTAGGACCTCTGAGAAGGTAGATGCACTGACTTGGGCGGAAGCATCTGGTAGCTGGAGGGGTTTTCCCTCCTCCCCTCCTGCTGTTTTGAATACCACAGTTCATTAGCCATGCTCACCTGGGTGATTCTGATAGATTTGGTCATCAATGTTTGCCACCTACCTGATTTCAGGGGACCCAGGAGATGCTCTGGCCTTGTCCTCTCCTTCTATCTCTTAAGCTTCTTTCTACCTGTGTTGCATGGCAGTCTCAGACTGAGGTATGGAAGAAAAGGTGGGGGCAGAGCAGACAGACTATGCGTGTCTATTTTTATTGGTTTTTTTTTTTTTTCCCTTTCCTGCTTTTTGCATTGAAATCTTAGCTGGCTTTCTTGAACTTTGACTTGGGGTGTAAAAACTGAACCAGACATTCTCTGCTTACTGTGGTCAGCTGACATAATCACCACCAAGAGTTAATGAGCTTACCTTGCACTTTTCATCACTAGGAAAGGTCTTGAAATTATTTCCCATACTGATTCATTATGGGTGTGTGTATGAATCACTTTCACATAATTTTAGATATGAAAACATGTGAGAGGGAGGGGGGAAAGGCCTCCTTTCATTTTCATCCATACTTAACAGATTGGCTGAATCCCTGATTATTTGACCCATCATTGTTATTAATATGATTAATAAACTACCTATTTATTGATTTAATTGTTCCTCCTGTGACTTTAAATAGCCCTCAAATAGATTTTGTGTGAATGACCCTCAGCTTCACTTCCTAACCCTGTAAGGTTTTCTCTGTCCTGTTTGAGATGGTATTGCTAGTCTGTGTGTGTGTGTGTGTGTGTGTGTGTGTGTGTGTGCGTGTGCGTGTGTGTGCACGCATGGGTGCACACACAAGGATGTTATGCACTGGATGGGTCCTTCCAGTGTGATTTGATTCCTTCCCTCATGCTACTGTGTTATCAGTTAAGCAGGTGATAAGGACTCCAGTGTGTCAACTGTCATTATTACTGAGACACAGCTGCTTACTGTGAATGTGCCTGTTTAAGTATTTCCTGGCCCCGCCCAGCCACAGCTGCAAGGATGCTGCCTGCCTCTGACTTCTGTTACTCTGCAGACAGAGGTAAGAGAAGGAAAATGTCAACCTCAGGACCCTAACCACCCCAGAGGAGAACTACAGGGAAATGCTTCACGTCTGACATCATGACAGCACTGGAGCCCAGTCTGGATCATTTTTACACATAATTGAATTAATTTTCCACTCCTAGGTTATGGGGTGTGAAATTTAAAGGACTCTATGCTATCCAGCCACAAAAAGTGTTCATGAAAAAGGTGGATATCCAGTTGGCAGGAATGTCCTTTCCGTTCTTTCAGCAGGCCCGTATTGTATACTTTACTCTGCCAGGGACCTACAATATGAAGATGAATAGGACACGGTCTTTGCCTCCAGGGAGCTCAGAGTCTAGGAGGACACTTCAGGACAGCTGCCAGGAGAAACCTATGTAGGTTATTAAAAGGCTTTATGGGAGCCAGGGAGGGAGGATGGTGTGTGGCATTCCACACAGAGGAAACAGCAAGGACAGAGGCACAGAAGCAAGAAACTGGTGGCATGTGCAGCATGTTCCTGTAGTATCGGAAAGGGAGAGCTTCATGTAGGTAACCTTTTAGGGACCTTTCAATCCAGACATTCTGTGATTCTCTGCCTGCTTCCACGGTGGTCATTTAATCTTGTAGGCTTATTTTGGACCATTGTTTTTCTTCTTGGTGGGTGTTTTCATAGCCTGCAAGATGTATATGTTAAGTACTCCTTGCTTCCTGGGCTCCCTCTAGCCCACTGTAACTGAGGGAGGTTGTTTGCCACTACCCCTTAAAGCTGGCTGGACACATGTTTCCATTTCAGGTTATTAAGGACAGTTCTTAGGTGGCCAGGTTATCAAAATACATGAACAGTAAATGTTGCTTCCTGGGTTCTATCGCTCTATTAAGAGATCAGAAATACCATCAAGTCAAAAAGCCTCCATTCTACGGTAACACTTTTTCCATTCACGTCAGTTAGTCTCTTCACTTAGGGTTTCCAGCTCCTAGAGAGCCTTCCCAAAATGTGCTCCTTCACCATCTCTTCCTATTTATTTACTTTTGAAGTTTTATTTAAGTGATCTCTACACCCCACGTGGGGCTTGAACTCACAGCCAGAGATGGAGTCATAAGCTCTTGTGACTGAGCCAACTAGGCACCGCCATCCCTTCCTATTTAGAAGTACACAGAAGGTTTCTTACTTAGGACCTGCATCTAATACCTCCCCCTGTATTTAAGTGGTCAAGAATTTGATCTCCTGTCAGACTTCCTGAGTTCAAATGCCAGTTTTTCCACTTACTGGTTGTGTGACTTTGGGCAAATTTACCCAAGCCCTCTATTTCAGTTTCCTCATTTGCAAAATGAAAATAACACCAATTTAATGCGATGTTTGTGAGAGTAAGGTGATAATAGGTGGGCTCAGTGCCTGGCATACACTTAAACACTCAGTATTTGTGCTTTATCTCCTGTATGAACTAATTATAATTAACTGATGATTGTAATACCATTGGTTCCTATTTCTCAGCTTCATTGCTCTATTTCATTTGAAACTAAAGAATGAAAGATAAATGCCTGCCATCACCTAGAATTGGGTTTTGGCCTTCAAGGGAACCTGAGGTTATTAGCTTTGGAAGCCGGCCTGTAAATTACTCCTTTAATTTATATTTTTCATTAAAAGCTCAGCTTGCCTCTTCTTCTATAGGGGTCTTCTCTGGCCCTGAAACCCCAGTGTTTAGCCATAAAATAAGGTTTTAAAATTAAGGGTCCATAATTCTCTCAGCTCCCCACAAGGTGTGGATTAATGGAATTGATAAGAAGGTGCACAGGATGTTATTTTTAACGAAAGCAAAGGCCTGGCCCTATTTCTTATCTTTGAAACACAAATCAAGGAGATACTGCGATTGGAGTGTAGTGTATTTATTTATGTATGTGTAGAGCTTTACAAAAAAAACCTCGGTTTGGGTGTCAGGAAAACTGGGTCCTAAGCTCTTCATAGCTCTTCATCGCCACCAAGATGCTGTGACCTCTAACCCTCTGCACATTCGCTTTGTGACTTGCAGGTTGAACATCAGGTAAGTAAAGCGCCTAGTATCACGCCTGGCACACAGAACTGCCCCCCCCCTTCCCCTGTCATGACAGGTAGTAGGTCTCTGAAAATGCATACCACTAGGATAATGAAAATGGGTACGCGCGCCAGTGAGAAGGGGCAACCACATCTCTACACCTCCCACGGAAAAATGAGCATGGAAACAGAGTCGCGTTGCAGCTAAGACTACACTTCCCGCTGCCCTTTGCGGCCGGCTCGTTTGCCTTACCCAGAATCGCTCCCTCCGCAACCTTGCGTCTTTCCGCGGAGGCCCCGGATGTAGAATCCCTCTTTGCTCGATGGGCGTGGCCTGGCGGTGGCTCTGAGACCTGGGGCTCTCTTATTGGTTGTGGTCCTTCCGACTGGATTGGAAGTGAAGGAGGGGGCGTGGGCCAAGGCGCGCGGCGCTCTAGCGACAGCCAATCAGAAGCCTGGTCGGGCTTTGGCGGGAGGCAGTAAAGCTGCGGCTTTGCAGATTTGGCGCGAGTGCGGCTGGGCTTTACTGCAGCTGGTGTGTAGTTTATTCCGGAACTTGCCCTGAAGAATCTCAGAAGCCTTGTGCGAGAGACGTGAGAAAGAGCCAACACTGAGGTACTCAGCCTTGTGAGGTGGAGAGGAGAGGATTGCTCGGGGAGGCCTAGGGCCCAGGAGGCAGCGGAGTTGGGAGAGCGGCTACGGCGAGGGCCGCTGCTTCCCCCTGAGGCTCGAGGTGAAGTGAGGGGAGAAGAGCTCAGATCGTCGGAGGTCTGGGGTCGGAGTAAGAGAAGGGAGTAGCTTGGCAGTCGTGCGTGGAATAAAGGGGCTGAATGTCGAAGGAGGGAGATGTTTCGGAGTGGGGTTGAGAAGGTGTGGCGTGAGGACTGAGTGCAGGGTGGAGGGAAGACCGTATATATGTCAGGGTGCTGGGCCAACCTGGTGATAAAGACACACCCCGTGCCCGGAGTGAGGGAATTAGAAGTCCTGTAGAAGTCAGTTAAGATAAACTTTTTATTGCATCACTCAAGTGGTTAAGAATTTGGGCTCTGGAGCCAGAATGCCTGGCCTGTTATGACTTTGGGCTTTTGTGCCTCTGAGTTTTCTCCTCTGTAAAATAAGAATAGTAAGAGTGCCGACCTCTAGTGTGTAAAACTTAAATGAGTCAGTGCCTAAGGGGCCCCGAGCTGGCTCTGTCCGTAGAGCATGCGACTTGTGATCTCAGGGGTCGAGTCGGAGCTCCACGCTGGGTGTAGAGATTCCTTAAAGTGAAAATAAAATGCTTATAACAGCGTCTTACACATAGTAGGTAGACAGCAAGTGTTTGTTATTATTGCTCAGATTTGGATGTGAAGTAGAACTGAATGCTAAAATATTGTTATCACATAATTATGAAATGTTGCTCATCGTTATAAATTCCATGTTAGCTACTTTTCCTTCATTTTTTACATATTGACAGATTGTCCTGTTCCCTTTTTTTGTACCCAGCCGTGTTGCCATCATGCCTCAAACCCGATCCCAGTCACAGGCTACAATCAGTTTTCCAAAAAAGAAGCTGTCTCGGACATTGGACAAAGCTAAAACTTCTGGTGACACCAAACTAGAACTGACCAATGTCCAGGCCTCACGCCATTCTTGTGTAAAAATTCTGCCTCTCAGCCCCAGAAAACGTCTTGGTAAGCTATCCATTATAGAAGTACAACTTTTTGCCTGGTAGCTCTTTGTTTGTTTAGTTTGAGAGAGAGAGAGAGAGAGAGAAAGAGAGAAAGCATGAGTGGGGGGAAGGGGCAGAGGGAGAGAGAGAATCTTAAGCAGGCACCACGCTCAGCACAGAGCCCCACTCGGGGTTTGATTCCCACCACCCTGGGATCATGATCTGAGCCCAAATCAAGAGTCGGGTGTTCAACTGATGGAGCCACCCAGGCGCCCTGTGACTGGTAGCTCTTGACCTCTCTTTCCTCAATAATAAGATGCCTAGTCCTTTGAAACAGCTTCCTAAGTTCATTTAAGACCACTGTGTTCTTAAACTAATTAAAAAAAAAAAAAAAAAGACCACTCTGTTCACTTTGGTTATTTTCAAAATAGTTGCTAAATTCATTTACTGAACTTCAGAGTTAAGCTCCGTGTTGAGGTCACTTTCTGAACTGCTTAACAGTTCTGGTATTCAGTTCCTTAATTTTGAACTTAGTCGTCAGTGTTTTAAATGACCTTGCAGTTATTTATATAGTATTTTGAAGCTTTCACCTCATTAATGGTGAAATTAATAGAAGCAAAATAATAGAAGATTGTTTTAGAACAGTAGTTGGTAATCCTGTCTTGTTTTAGATCTTTTTTTGTTTTTTTGTTTTTAAATGAAGGGTGATATGGCAGTATCTAAAGACATTTTTGGTTGTCACAATTGAGGGAGTGGCATAGTGGATAAAGGCCAGGGATGCTGCTGAACATTCTACAATGCACAGGATAGCTCCCTACAAGAATTATTTGGTCCAAGATCTCAATGGTGCCAAGACTGACAAACCTTGTTTTAGAGCAATGTTAAAAATTTCATCCCACTAAACGCGTTTGCTTTCTGCCAAATAGTGGTAAGATTCAGTGTGCCATCTGGTGGCCAGTATTTGCTTCTAGATGAGAAGCATTTTATTTTGGTGGTTTTGATTATGGAAATTTGACTCTTGCTGAGAAAAGCAGAGATGTTCCAAGTCCTTTTACTATCCACTACTATGAATGACCATATTTTGATTTTAATATATTTCAGGTGATGATAATCTGTGCAACACTCCCCATTTGCCACCCTGTTCTCCACCAAAACAAGGCAAGAAAGAGAATGGCCCCCCTCGCTTCCATACACCTAAGGGGCGCAGATTGGTGTTTGACAATCAGCTGACAATTAAGTCTCCTAGCAAAAGAGAACAAGCCAGAGTTCACCAAAACAAAATACATTCCTCAGTTCGAAAAGGTCAAGAGATTACAACAAATTCTGAGCAGAGATGTCCACTGGAGAAAGAATCTGCATGTATGAGACTGTTCAAGCAAGAAGGTTCGTTCTTACATGTCAGCTGTTAGTACAGCCTCATAAACAAGCTGGTGACTCCAGATGAAACCCAGTGGATTTTCTTAGTCTCCTCTGTTGTATCTAATTGTCCTTTCACGTTTGACACAGGCACTTGCTACCAGCAAGCAAAGCTGGTCCTGAATACAGCTGTCCCAGATCGGCTGCCTGCCAGGGAAAAGGAGATGAATGTCATCAGGAATTTCCTGAGGGAGCACATCTGTGGGAAAAAAGCTGGAAGTCTTTATCTTTCTGGTCCTCCTGGAACTGGAAAAACTGCCTGTTTAAGCCGAATTCTGCAAGACCTCAAGGTACACTGAAAGTCTGAAATATGAAGCTCTTGCTAAAATGACACTTGGTTATTAAGGGTTAAGAAAAAGTAGACATGCTTAGGAGATTGAAGTCTTCCCTCAAATAAGATGTTTTTAGTTTCATTGTCTAAATCTTTCTTTTTTTTTTTTTTTTTAATTTTTTTTTTAACGTTTATTTATTTTTGAGACAGAGAGAGACAGAGCATGAACGGGGGAGGGTCAGAGAGAGAGGGAGACACAGAATCCGAAACAGGCTCCAGGCTCTGAGCTGTCAGCACAGAGCCTGACGCGGGGCTCGAACTCACGGACCGCAAGATCATGACCTGAGCTGAAGTCAGCCGCTTAACCGACTGAGCCACCCAGGCGCCCCATCATTGTCTCAATCTTTCTAAATGAAAGTAGAACTTATTCTCTTACATGCATTTAACTCCTCAAAGACGTTTAGGTCCCGTCAAACCTTTATCTGAGGGCAAAATATCTCTCATGTTTGCATTTTTCTAGAAGGAACTGAAAGGCTTTAAAACTATCATGCTGAATTGCATGTCCTTGAGGACTGCCCAGGCTGTATTCCCAGCTATTGCTCAGGAGATTTGTCAGGAAGAAGTATGCAGGCCAGCTGGGAAGGACATGATGAAGAAACTGGAAAACCATATGACTGCAGAGAAGGGCCCCATGATGTAAGTATTGCTCTGCTGCATGTTGTTCTATAAAAATCTGCAAGGTCTGTTGCCCACAAACTCATATTCTAGTCTCTTGAATTTATCAGTTTGTATAAAAAAAGAACATTTCCTATATTTGCTGTACAAGAGGTAGTTACATATGCTTAAAGGGAAAGAAGAGAGGAAAAATACATGTTCTAATTTTAAATTGGAAAAAATGTTTTTAAACTAATTGCTTGAAAAACCTGTATGTTACTTTTATGTGATGGTGGGGGGTTATCATTGTAACAGTGACTGGAGAGAGGACAGCTTATGACCTCCAAACTGGTGTCAGCTGTAGGAATGTGACTTGAGTCAGCCCAGATATCACAGATTGGAGAGTTAAGGTGAACATGGATACTAATCACTTCTCTTTATATGTAGTGTGTTGGTGTTGGACGAGGTGGATCAGCTGGACAGCAAAGGGCAGGATGTGTTGTACACGCTGTTCGAATGGCCATGGTTAAGCAATTCTCGATTGGTGCTGATTGGTTAGTGTTCAGTTGCTAATGTTACAGGATGGTTCTAAAGAATTCTTTTTTAATCGCTTCATCTTATCTATCACCTATTTTATATCAAGCCAGCTTTCTGCTTTCTTATCAAAATGAAAGTTACTGCAAAATAATAGTAGTTTTAACCTAAAATCAGTTTTGTGAAGTCTGAATAGAAATGCTATAATACTTCATTTCAGAGACCGCTGATTTTTGGACTATCTGGTCCTATTTATTAGTGAACAATTCTAAACCTAACTTGAACAGAGCATTCTAAGGTGACTGTGTACATCTTACCTAATAAGTATGGGTGGAGGGTGGGTGGCAAGTGAGAAGCAACAGTTAGAATGCTGGATTATAACTAGAAATCTTGTTCAGCTTTCCAAGGGTTTAGTTTTCCTTATAGGTGATTTGACCGTGATGATTGGTAGTATTTATCTCCTCAGGTATTGCTAATACCCTGGATCTCACGGACAGAATTCTGCCGAGGCTTCAAGCTAGAGAAAAATGTAAGCCACAGCTGTTGAACTTCCCACCTTATACCAAAAATCAGATAGCTGCTATCTTGCAGGATCGGCTTGATCTGGTAAGTCCCACCTACTGTACCACATTATGTATCCCTTGGATCAGCTCTGGAGGGGAAGCCTAACAGTCATTCTAAAATATTTTTGCTTAGATTGCTTTCCTTAGCAGGGAGTTCTGGTGGGCCATAGTGAGAACATTTTTATATGAATTTCTACCCAAGGCTCCGTTTATTGGGTGCCTCAGTGTTGGAATAAAAATAAGAGAAGAATCACTCAATACTGTTTTTTCCTCTTTTTTTTCAAGTTTATGTATTTGTAGTAATCTCTACACCCAATGTGGAGCTCAGACTCATGACCCTAAGATCATGCTCTTCTGAGTGAGCCAGCCAAGTGCCCTTAATCCTTTAAAAGAAATTTTTTTAATGTTTATTTATTATTGAGAGACAGAGAGAGACAGAGCATGAGCATGGGCGGGGCAGAGAGAGGAGGAGACACAGACTCTGAAGCAGGCTCCAGCCTCTGAGCTGCCAGCACAGAGTCTGTTGTGGGACTCGAACTCACACAAACCTCGAGATATGACCTGAGCAGAAGTCGGATGCTCAACCGGCTGAGCCACCCAGGTGCCCTGCCCCTCAATCCTTTTTAAATGGCCTTTAAAAATAGGGCCTATGAAAAAAACTTTCTCTTGAAAATGACCAAATAGATTTTATTTTAGTTTAGTTTGCTAATTTCTGATTGCTTTTTTTCCCCATTCATGAACCTCAAGTACATGCTGACAGAATGCTTCAATGTGTGAAATTTCCGTTTACTTTATGAGAAAAAAAGGCATCTCTTAGATCCTAAAGGGTGGCCAGTCAAGTTTAGACTTAACATGAAAATATGTATATCAGGGACCTAAATTACAGAGAGGGGGAATATTATACTTCATGTTGTCATCCCCTGTGTCTTGTCCAAAGGTATCTAGAGATCAGGTTCTGGACAATGCTGCAATTCAATTCTGTGCCCGAAAAGTCTCTGCTGTTTCAGGAGATGTTCGAAAAGCACTAGATGTTTGCAGGTGAGTTATGGCACTGTCGGCTACTTTTATTAAAAAAAGAAATGATGTTAATTGTCTCATGTAACTCAAGTGAATGTGGCTTAAGAGGCTGCATTCTGCCACTTTTTACACTCAGAAAGGAGGACTTGTTTCTCAGTGGGGAGCTCTGCATTTCCACCGTGTTAATGTCTGAAACATTATCAGTCCATTACCTACAGAGGGAGAAACAAATGAGATGTTGCTGGCACTCCCTGTGGTGATTATAGATTGGTTAATTACATTTGTATTAAAAAAGACTCCAGTTTACTTTTCCATTAGCTGGTCTCAAGCAGGTTTATTTATGGACCTGAACCATCTTTGCCTTTAGACTTTTTTTTCCTTCCTTTCCTTTTGTGAGCACCCCTTCCTCCTGTTGGTGGTCCCCCACAGTTGTACTCTAGACCTCTCTCTCCCTTCCCATCCTCTGCCCCTCCTGCTGGGGAAAGCCTCTGTGCTGACTGATGAAATTTCTTCCTTCCCAGTAGGGACACTGGGTCCATTAAAATGATACTTGCTGTGTTGGCCCGCTGGTCCAACCTCCCCCTACTGCCATGCAAAAGATCCAGGCCTGGCTTATGGCTTCCTGTGGGCAAAGTACTTTGGAGACAGCAGTGGGAGAGTAAGCTCTGCCTATTGCTAGATGGCATGATCCTGGATTTGAAAGTTTCCCCTAGTCAGCAAACTAGTTGGGTAAAGACTGCAACTATGAGCAATTGTCATGTAGGCTGGTGTGGTTTAGCCTACATGTATCATATGTATATGTAGCCAAGGACTCCCCTTTTAGCTCCAGTGCGTATGGGTGGTACTGGCTCTCTGTAGTCAGTCACCCACCCACATATCCTCTCTCCTGTCCATGACATTTTTTCCTTGTTCAGAATGTTATTATTGGCCACATGTATGATGACCTACTTGGCATCTATAAGAGGAAACCATATAGTGTTGAAGTTTCTCAGATTCCCTGGTCCATGAAATTATTTCAAGGCAATTAAGTCCCCTTTAGCTGAGACATAACCCAGCTTCATTTAGGGGCTTTGAAATTATAAAACATGTGTCTGTTTTTGAGCTTGGTGGTTTGGTGTGGTGTTTGGTTTGGCTCAGCCTAAATTAATTTTAGAAATATTTTTTTATAGGAGAGCTATTGAAATTGTAGAGTCGGATGTCAAAAGCCAGACTATCCTCAAACCGCTGTCTGAATGTAAGTAGTTTATCTCCTTCCCGTCTTCCTTTATAATTGGAAGCTTAACTTTTCTGAGGAAAGGGGTAGAAAGATGAAATGAACACAGTTAAATCCACACTTATCCTGTTCTGTATTTCTGTTTTTGGTCAATTTCATCTACTTTACTTGAGTCTGGCCTGTCAGTACTGTAGTCCATGCATTGCTGGAAATGAGCTCCCCAGGGTGTTACAGAAATGGCTGGGTCATAGTAAGTTTTCTTTCTAAACTCTAGAAATGAAAATTGTAGACAATAAGGCTTGCCCAGCTTCTCTCTGGGTTCTTGTGTTGAGCGCACTTTAGGTCTTGATATAGGTGAAAAGAAAGCCCAGTAAATAAGAGTCAGACAGTGAGAGAATCTAGTTCAACTTGGGATATCTCAAGCCTTTACACATGTGTAGGAGGGTGAAGATACAAACATGATATTGCTACAGTGGGCTGTTAGAAAAATGACAAAATTAATTTTCCTTTCCGTTAGCTTTGTTCTCTTAGTCATGGCGGATGTAAAATGGCCCTGAACTACGGATCTTGTCAGTATTTTAATATCCAGTGTTAATCTTTAGAAACAAGACAGTCCGATTTGATTGTTTCCTCTTTCACTCTTGCAGTGGTTGAGAGTTATCAAAATTGTTTCTAGCACTATAGTTCCATAGAAAACTCACTTTCTTTTCTTCCCTTCCCTTCCCTCCCCTCCCTTCCCTCTTTTCTTTTCTTTTCTTTTCTTTTCTTTTCTTTTCTTTTCTTTTCTCTTCTTTCTTCTTTTCCTTTCCTTTCTTTTTTCTTCTTTCCTCTTCTCTTCTCTTCTCTTCTCTTCTCTTCTCTTCTTTTCTTTTCTTTTCTTTTCTTTTCTTTTCTTTTCTTTTTTCTCCCCCTCTCCCCTTCTCTCCCTTCCTCCCTTCCTTTTCATCAATTTGTTGAAAGGAAATCAATAAAAATATTTCAGAAGTAGCCAAATTCAGAGCGTATGCTAATTAATGGTAGGTAATATATACCAATGCATAGATTAGGTTATTGGTTTCTCTTTAACTTTTCAGATTATTCCTTTTCCTGAAGCAATAACATTTAGGCTTGTCAGTGCCCCTGTGAGCACCACTGGCACACACATAGCTAAAGGAGGTTGTAAGCTTCTGGCATAAATTATCAGACTAACTACATTCCTGTCTTTTGACCTCTGGTATGTGTGATTAGCTTTTAATGGCTCCAGAAAGCTATACGGAGGCTGATTTCAACTAAATATAAGAAGGCACTTTCTAGTAAATAGCAGTAACTGGGCTTCTTTGACACATATGTGGGTTCCCTAGCTTTGAAGATATTCAAACAAAAGCTGGATAGATGATCACTGGTTGGGATTGTTTGGGGTAGGAAGCAAGAAGAGACCTCTAAATTCCTTTCAACTTTAAGATTCAGCTACTTGATCAGTGATCTCCAGTTTCTCTACTACCGCCAGTTCACAGCAGCATCCCATTTGTGGTAACAAAATAGAAGCAAATTGCTTTGGGGTGACTGCACGTGGTCTGAGGAAGTAACTTAGGCAAAGGTTGTTACAGAGCAAATCCCTCCTCTGTCCAAACAATGAGGCCACAGTCCTAGGCATCTCGTTGGCAGTTCCCCAACCTCCCGCCTCCGAGATGGTGCTATCTGCTAAGATATCCAATGACATTTTCTCAAGTGTTGCTCTATTGTAGATCAGCTTAGGCAAGTGAACCAAACCTCAAAGGTCATTTGGGGAGGCTATCTAGAAGAATTATGTAGGATTCCCTTTACTGTCCACATTTAGCCACTCATTTGATTCAAGATATTAGGTAATTCTTACAATTTCTTTTTCCTTTCTTAATTACCATGCACAATCATCCTTGCCGTAAGGTTCTATTCTTTTTCATCTTCAAGATACTAAGAACTTCCAAGGCAGAATACAGTAGTTTTCTGTCTAGTCCTTCTTTCCTGAGGTGGATTTTGTCTCCCTGACATTAAATTGCATTCCACAGGACAAAATAGCTTGCCGTTCTACCCAGAAAGAGGAAAACCCAATTTTCCCAGTCATCATATTTTTAAGGATAGCATTGTCTCTCGTCCTTTGGCTTCTAGTCACAGAGTTGGAACCTCCGCTTTTGCCACCACATGACTGCACTTGAATTTCTTTCAGCTAAAACTTAGTATTATCTGTCTCAATGCACACGATATTTTAAAATTTTAATTAAGCTTGATTTATTTACTTTTTAGGTAAATCGCCCTCTGAGTCACTGGTTCCCAAGAGGGTTAGTCTTATTCACATATCCCAAGTCATCTCAGAAGTTGATGGTAACAGAATGACTTTGAGCCAAGAAGGGGCACAAGATTCCTTCCCCCTTCAGCAGAAGATATTGGTCTGCTCTTTGCTGCTCTTGACCAGGCAGCTGAAAATCAAAGAGGTCACTCTGGGGAAGGTGAGTTGAGAATCTGCTTTGCAGAGCAGATATTGTCCAAAAGGCCTATTATGCTCCAACTGATATGAATTAAAAATGGATTTTTAACAATAAGAATAAATATTGGTACCATATAAAAGGCAACTGGCTTTATTTCCCTTGGGTTGTGGTTGAGAATTTCCCATTAATTTCCTCCTCTCCATTTCTTCCTCTCCCTAAGAAATATATAGAGCTCCTCTCCTGCATTACAGTACAGTCTGTTGGCAATGTCTACAGTGTGCCTCTTCGAGGATTTGATTGAAAAGAGGGAAAATTAGGGTATTCAGATAACCTACAAATGCGAACTCACAATTTAAAAAAAAAAAAAAAGATTATAAAGTTACAAAAGATAGAACTTTTAAACAACTTTTGTTCTTCCTTATTCCTCCCAGTTACATGAAGCCTATAGTAACATCTGTCGCAAACAGCAGGTGGCAGCTGTGGACCAGTCAGAGTGTTTGTCACTTTCAGGGCTCTTGGAGGCCAGGGGCATTTTAGGATTAAAGAAAAACAAGGAAACCCGCTTCACAAAGGTACAACTAACTGCTTCTTTGTGATAATGCTTTTAATTGTCATGTTTTGGAGAGATTATCTTTTGCTAAAGTAAAGATTTAAATATGACCACAGTTAGGTAAACAATTTTTTTTGTTAAGTAGAGTTAAAGATCTGTGAGGATGGGGGGCACCTAGTGGCTCAGTTGGTTAAGCATCTGACTTCAGCTCAGGTCATGATCCCACTTCAGCTCAGGTCACGATCTGGTAGTTTGTGATTTCAAGCTCCTTGTCTGAGCTGTACTGACAGCTCACAGCCTGGGGCCTGCTTTGGATCTGTCACTCCCTCTCTGCCCCTCCCCTGCTTGCACTCTGTTTCTCAAAAATAAATAAACATTTTTAAAAATTAAAAAAAAAAAAAAAAGATCTGTGAGGATGGGGCAATGGTATGAATGAAGCATTCTCTGCGGGCCATTGACTTCTTGCCTCTTGTGACAGAAGTTCAACATGGTAGAAATGTGTGTAATAAAAACTTGACTTTTGTGAGTTCTCCACCATGAAAAGTCCTTTTCTCTTCTTTCCAGGTGTCTTTGAAGATTGAAGAGAAGGAAGTAGAGCATGCTCTAAAAGACAAAGCTTTAATCGGAAATATCTTAGCTACTGGATTGCCTTAAATTCTTTCCTTTTATACTAATGACGCTACCTGAAAGTATCCAGCTGGCATTTAGAGATCTATGGAGTCTTCATTTTAGTACTTTATCCATTCAGTGGCATTCAATGGTAATTTGTGAAAATATGACCTTTTTTTAACATGAAACTGATAAATTTTAATCTATGGATTCATGAATATTAGTGCAGAATAATAATTTGGGGTCTTATTTTATGCATTAAAAATTACCAAGTAGACCTTTTTTAATTATATTCACTACCTCCACCTCTTGTGTATCTCTAACCAATATGCTTATATTGCAGTACACAAGATTTATGTTGTGGAATGTGCCTGTATATACCTCTTAGTTTCTTCAGACATTGGCATATTTTAAAGAACCTTGGGGCTAGAGTAAGAAGAGAGAAAAAGGATGTTGCAGGAAAATAAGCAAGTCCACGTGGAGATCTGGAGATTTGATCAAAGAATTTCTTTCTTTTTGGAGGATATTGTGTTTGTGTTGCAAGTGCTTCCACAGTGACATTTTATTTTTTTATTTTTTTTTTTTCAACATTTATTTATTTTTGGGACAGAGAGAGACAGAGCATGAACGGGGGAGGGGCAGAGAGAGAGGGAGACAGAATCGGAAACAGGCTCCAGGCTCTGAGCCATCAGCCCAGAGCCTGACGCGGGGCTCGAACTCACGGACCGCAAGATCGTGACCTGGCTGAAGTCGGACGCTTAACCGACTGCGCCACCCAGGCGCCCCAACCCACAGTGACATTTTAAAGACTCATGGAGCTTATTGGGCACTCCCAAGGCTGTGGGGGTGGTAAAGGGACAGTAACTGTATGGATTGTGAATATATTTATTTTCAAGTTGCATCCTTTGTCTTTTTAAGCATGCACATTTCAAGAGAGCTCAGACTTTCAGAAAACCATGTGAAAATTTCTCCCCAAACTGTCCCACAGTCTTAGCTGCCCTCAGATGAAGCCACTTGTTTCCAGATGCTTTCGTTTGGGGTTGGATTTTCATCTGAGCCTTTTCATCTGAGCCTCAGATTTTTCCAGTCTTATTAGATAAATTAATCCATGTGGCTACTCAAGTCTTCCCTTTGCTTCATTTGGTTTCCAGTGGCATTCAATGGTAATTTGTGATGGGGACACCAGAGGGCACCATTATAACACTGACTACCTTAAAACTGCAGGCTTGGGGCTGGGGTAGTTTTGAGGGAAGGGGGAGAAAACCAGTTTGATCCCTTTGGGAGATTACTATACTTTTATAACTCAAGCAGATGCTTGGAATGCAAACCATGTGCGATGTGAATGGTCTCAGAGCCAGTGACCAAGTCTGTGCTCACTGAGCTCTTTTACCTCTCGGACAGGACTTGAGTTGGGGAACTTGATATTGTACAAATGATCTGTTGGCCAGTGTTTCATTCATGCTGCCCACTGTATCCTTGTAATGTGATCTGGGCCACGGCAGATGGTATGGGATAGAAGAAGGACATGCAGAGAGAGCCCTCTGAAATGAACACTACCCACCGGTGGGTGTGGCAGAGCATTGTCTGTACATGAGAGTCTGAATGTCGTTCTCGCCTTCTCACCTTTACCAGGTTACTCCCTCCCTCTGAGGGTCATCTGTGAGTGGAAAACACAGTTCTGTACCTAGAAGCCTGAGAGTGTCTGGGGCTACAAGGGTTAACAAGCATAATTGCAAAGATTGTCCGAAGGCTGATGGAAAGCAGAGACTGAATGGGATTGAGAACAGATGCGAGGCTTGATTTAAATTACATTTTATTGGATGCTGCAGCCTTAAGAGACGTGACTGCTTTACAGTTTGTTTCCACACTGTGGGCAGCTGCTGTCTGTTCTGTGTCCACAGTAGGATCCTGCCCAAAAAGGAGCGGCCTCCCCACCTCGTTGTGTTTGAGGCTTGGCGCCTTTCTCTTAACTGTAGGGCTTGAGTCAGGAACATGGCTTGACTCGCAGTGGGGCTGCTATGTATCCTCCATGGCTCTGAGCCAAGATTGCATTTGCAGATTCAAAAGGGTGAAATTTCTTTCCCCTCTACCTCTTTTCTCTCCCTTTCCCCTGGTATTTGGAAATAGGGTTTTTTGTGTACTGGTTTGTTAGTTTCCTTTCCTTCAGTTCTCCCCCCACTGTCAATTTCTAGGTCATTGCTGCTCTTAAGACTTCAGCAATTGGAACAGGGTTGGTTCTGTCAATGATGCGTGAAGCAGACTTAGAGTCCCTGCTTGGCTTCCACTGCCCTTGTGGGAGCAAAAGCTGATGTATGTTTGTCAGTGAAGTCTTAAGTGTAATTCAGACAGCCAGAGAGCAGACTGAGAGGAGGAAGAAAGTGCTTTTCTTACTGGCGTTTCTCACTGAACCTGAGAGCTATGGGAAGGTAGTGGGATTTTTAGAGGGATGGGCCGGACTTGTGGTTACTAGTTTTTGCCAGGATTGTAGCCTGTTTCACATACAGTAGTGGCAAAGATGCTGACCTACATTCTTCCTCTTGAAGGTGGTGGGGTGTGTGTCTATATCCTGATTTATATTTCTTCACAGAAGCAGATTAAGCTTCCGTAGAGTGTTGATGGGTATTGCCATGGAAAGAACATAGACACAATAAAATTGGTGTGTTTCAACCCCAGAGCTGCCGCTGACATTTCTGGCTCAGTGAAGACTTGCCTGTGGGTAGATAACTAACTGGCAAGAGTGTGTGAGGTCCAAGCTACCCAAAGATCAAAAATATTGGCAGAGCTCTATTTGCTACCCACCCCCCATCCACTGCTCCCTGCCTTTATTAAGTGCCCTTTTAAGATTGACCAATAAGAACTGGGAGGTAGGATTGAAATACTTCTTGAGGATCTTCAAAAATATCTATTGAGAGGTGTTGCCTTGACTACCGAGGGAGACCAAAAGAAAGAGCCAAGATGTTACTTACCTTTGTGTCTGTCCCCAGCACCTAGTACAGCGTTGGGTACCTGGTAGGTATTCAGTAAACAGTCATTGAATGGACGGATAAATGAACCAAGGAAGACACTGCCTTTTCCTCCATCTCGAGGCCAGTTATCAGAAGGTAAACACTGTTGGTGTTTCTGCACGGAGGTGGAGCAGGGCCCTGTAAAAGAAGGGTGCTCCATCTTACAAGATGTGTCTTGACACATTGTGGAGCGTTTATTGGTCTCACAGATGCGTACCAATCGCTCCCTCTGATGTAGTGGCATTTTGCTTGAGGCAACTTCCACACTGCTCCCAGGAAGCCTCGGGTTTGGGGAGAGGGAGTCCTACCCATGGGCTGGGAAGATGGGCACCTGTCTAGATGTTACCTAGTGTCCCTAGGGATTGGCCGGAAGCTTTGCCTCCATTTGGCAAGGGATCAGGGAGGAACACACCTTTGGTGTCCCACTTTGTAACTTTTGAAGAAAGTGGTGATCTCAGGTTCTTCCTGAAAATCTGAGGTGCCCTCTAAGACATTCCCCTTCATGCTGCAAACAGCACTGGTCTCCCTCTTCTCAGAAGTGCATTCTGTAGGGGGAGAAGGTGTGCCCTCTGGCCTCCCTTGATTTTCAACCCCAGCCCCAAGGCACTGGCAGTAGAAGCTAATTGGGTGCAAGGGGCCTGGGTAGAGGCTGTCTGAAGACTGGGGAAAGGAGAGAGCCAGCTCCTTTTTTAAAAAGCTCTAATTGAGTTCTGAATCAGCCTCCCTCTCTTTGATCCCTCCTCTGTTTCCCACACTGCCTGAAAGAGCTAGATCAGCACTTTATAACAAGGGTGCGCCTGCTCCCCACACCGCCCCCCTCTCCCGACGCGCTCTCCGCTGCCGCCATCCACTGCTTGTCTCCTTCAGTTAAGATAATGAAGATGCTGAGAGATAAAATGTGTATTTAATAAGGGTGGGGGTAGGGAGGCGGAAAGGGGCAGCCAGGGCCTTCCCTAGTTTGGGGCCTAGCCAAGACTCAAGCTGAAAGCAAAGCTGGAGTAAGACTTGGCCCCAGGGTGTGGGGGTTTCTGGGCCTCAATCCAGCTGACTTCACTGCCTGCTGTTTGCCCTAAATTCCCCCACCTCCACCCTCTCACCCCCACACTCCTTTCTTTCCTCTCTCCTTGCTCCCCATGGGGAAAGGGAATCTTGCTTCAACTTTGTTTTCAGCTGGTAACTTGGCCTTTGGTGCGGTGCCCCCAGTCCCCGAGTCAGCTGCAAGGTCGGGCTAGGGCAGCCCCCTCTAGCTAAGGCCTGCAGAAGCCTTGGGTTCGCGGTGGGGGGTGAAAAAAAGCTGGAGTTAATGAAGACCAGCTGCTAGTCTGGGTTCTGCCTGCAGTTAGCTGGAGGCCAGCCTTTGGTGGTGGTTGAAGGTACTGGGGTGCATGACCTCCGTCCCTGGGCACAAGGATATCCTGTGGCAGCTGAGGCTTGCGCTCCTCTCTGGGCTCGGTTTTATCCTTAGTTTGTAAGAGAGGAGTGCGTTTCCCTCTTGCCCTACTCCTCCCCTCTCCAAATAACACTCGCCCTTATTGGGCTTTATAACTGTAGTGGCGGCCCAGCTGAGATCTGAGGATCTCCAAGTTCTTTTGTAAACACTCATTAACTGCCTGGGAAGAACCAAGAGCCCTGGTTAACAGCTGGGAGGGAACTGAGGCACGTTAGGGAGAAAGGCTTGACCTGAGCTCACCCCATGGACTCCACCCTGGGGCCTCCATCCTTCCTGTCTAGCTCCTTTCCTCAGTAATTCCTATAAGCGGGAGAAAGATGTGGGTGAAACACTGCTGCCCTCTCCCCTTCTAGGAAGAGGCCATACTTTCTCCCTGCCCTTGAATCTGTCCCTGACTACCTCCTGCCCCACAGAGTCCCTTCACCGCATGAAACTTTCCCTGCTCTGCTGCTGCTGCTGCTGGAGATGCATGCAATTCTCCTTGCAAAATACTCTCACTCCAGCCCTCTGCAGCCCTCCCATCCACCTTTCCCTGGCCCACCAAACCCAAACCCCAGTGCCTCTTTTTGAGGTACTTGGGAAAATCACCT